TGCCAGTCTCATCCTCTTGTAGTTCCCACGCTCCATCGGTGAGCTAAGAAAATGCTTATCTCCTTGAGCCTGGCCTTCATAATTCCATTCCATCATACACACCAGATACAACAATTTTAATATGATACTCCGTTGGTAAATTAGACAATGTGCTAATGCCTTAAATAAAGCCAGCAAACTAAGCCATTTATGGAGTCCTTGACTTCTGAAAAACTTATATCCAGGGTACTCAACTTCAAATTACTATTAAACAACACTCCAATAGTTACAAGTTTTAGATTCAAATTCATTATCTATTTTGCAAAGGATGATGTAAACAAAATCAACATTTGCTGTAAATATTTTATTCTCAGTTAAAATTGTGGTGTGGTAGCTGGAAGATAACAAAGAACAAGAAATTTGTATGAATGAGTAGACTAATGCCTTCCTCTCAAAATTAGGGGAAGTGAATGAGGTTAAACATGATGCATGCTACTTATTCCTTGTCTAGAATTTGGATTATTGGAGTAAAGCCATCAGGGCCAACTTCTACTATAAGCAGGACCAAAGCTGGAAAAGACATGGTAAAAATTAACTATATAGATCAATGGAACTGGCTTTTAAGTAACTGTACAAACACAAAAAGCAAAAAATCTTTAATTCAATTACAATAGCATAACATCTGGTGCTAATATAGCTTTTAATATAGCCTCTCAAATGCTACTGGCTCACTTACTTATGTTAGCAATTTGTAATATAGCAAAGGTCGTATCTTCTATCTCCCATTATCAGCTCTAGTAACCAGGTAAGTGATTACTGCCTATGTACAATCCATATAGATTTAATCAGGGATGTGCTCTTTGCAAACTCTAAACATGGAAGCTGGAGTGAATATAGATTTTTAAGTTTAATTGGGCAGGGTATCTCTTGAGTGTAACTTGTACATGCAAATTCCAACAATAAGAGCTGCAGATACAAGAATATATTATAGTGTGATATATTATTCCAATGACACTATGTATGATAAATATTTTACAATCTCCCTGTTGTAAAAACATTCCATCTTTACTGAGTGATTATGATTTTGAGAAGTCTGAAGCTCCTACCACTACAAAAGCCAGTATTCACTTATTTGAATTATATTCCATCTTTCATTCAGGAGTTGAAAGTGGGACACTGTACTCTGTCCTACCATTTTTCTCCACAACATTCCTGGGAGGTAGAATGGGCTGAGAGAGAGTGACTGAGAGAGGACTATAAGTCTCTCCAGTGTCAGTCCAAAACTTAGGTTTGGGATGGAATAGGTAAATAAGCCAGAAATTATTTATTTACATTTTTAAATATTTCAATCCTGTCTTTTCTCTAGGAGTTCAAGGAGACACATTTCATCCTAACAACCCTGTCAAGTAGATTGGGATAAGAGATGGTAATGAGGCCAAAGTAATCCAGTGAGTTTCAGTCTGAGCAGGATTCTTTGGTCCCAGACCAATATTGTAACCAGAAGCAACAACATATGGTGAGCTAGTGAGGATGGCTCTGAGGGCACATAATATTCTTGAGGGAGCTACACAAATACGGTCTGCTTAATCTCTGGAAATGGCACATGCTACCTTAAGATTCATGTTGAAGTCAGAATACTAATGCTATAAATAAACACAAATAAGGGGTACTTCAGACTCAAGAGAATACAAAGGCAGGGAAAATAATATTAGTATAGCATTAGAAATAAGATGGACTAAAGAGCTAAGAATTATTAGTGTACCAATGATATGCAGATAAAATGCTGCCATTTGTTTAATTAAAACCATGGTGTTCCATATTAACTTTGCAAATTATAGTTAACTATGTTTTGATACCATGACAAATGTCATGATCAATTCCAGTAGAATCAAGCTAAATAATGTAAACAGGTAGAGCTGAATAGGCTAATCCTAGATGAAGAATGGCAAAAGCCAGAAATAAAACTAGCAGGGATTTTGCACTTCTACAGGCATTAGAATGAAACAGGGGTAGAAATAAAGCAGATAACAAGCACGTTATAGAAGCATTGTACATGGGTATGATGTGATACAGTTTAGAATATTATTTTTCTGCCCAAATGTGTTAAAATATCATCCCAAAACATACCATATTTATTTTCAAAGAAAGACTGTGCAGATATATATGATGTTTGCCAATGTGAGGATATTTTATTTTCTACACCAAAGCCAGGAATTAGTTTGTTCACTAGTTCATCAAGTTGGCTAATTTTCAAATCAGACAGTCCTAGGTCTCGTAGATTAAGTAACGGCTGTAAAAAATAAATAAAAGATTCAAATTATGAGGAACACTGGATCACTTCAAAAATAACATCTAAGTACCATGATTCTTATATGTTTAAGGTATATAAAAAGCTATGTTTTTTATTTAATCTTTCTGAATCATATGTTCAGGCTCAATATCTATAAAGAATTGTTTGTATCATTATTTAAATTTTGTAGTTCTTTTTTCAAACAAAAAAGTAAATAACACTGAAAAATGAAAACTGTATGCCATTAAAAAATATTCTGTCTGATGCTATTACAAACACCAGGAAATTATTAGGATATTTAAACATGGGTGGTGTAAATTAAATAAGAGATGCTCTTTCACAGTCATGTTAATTTCTAGAGTACAGTTATCTCCTTCAGAGTATGCTACCAAATTAATAAACACTTAATCTCAAAGGTATCTTTAATTTCTTTGGGAATTCACATTGTAATCCTACGGACATGTACTCAGAGCTAGTCAGTCCTATCCAATACAATAGAATTTTTTCACAGAGGAGCATAATCCCAACCCAAGTCTCTATAACATTTTCATATTACAGAAAATTCAGATACATTTACTGATATTTTTGTATTACTCCAATAACAGGAGTGAACAGCAAGCAAAAGGTTACTCAGCTATGGGGAAAAGGGATATATTTATCTTAAATGAATATTCTTTTTTAAAACAAATGCCTTTTATATATAACATTCCTTTTAATTTGTATTGTCGAAGGCTTTCATGGCCGGCATACAATGGTGTGGGTCTTCCGGGCTGTGTGGCCGTGTTCTGGAAGTTTTGTTTCCTAACGTTTC